ATTCCGGCCTGAAACTAATTACGAAAATTCAAAGTCTTCTTGAAACGCAATCATGCTTTATTAATTGTTTTTATACTTTGCTCGAGTTTCGAATTTCAAAATTAATTTCACGGTCAACCGCGCCGGCTTCAATTTTAATTAGTCCGTCAGAGATGGAAAGCTATGATCTCGAGGCGATAATAAATTCTTTGAAAGGGATGTCACGTCGTTCGACGGCTACATTATACAGCCAAAGAAGGAGTCGTCTTTCGGTCGCTGCTTTTAATTAGTCACGAGAGGGCGAGAGTAAATAAGAAAAGTCGACGGAAACCTTTCCAACACTTCTTTTGGAACAACGGAAGTTCGCCAGTCGGCGCGGCATTCCTGGCGAAAAATGATGCCAGCAAATTTTGTTGAAGCCCCACGAAATTCGGAAGCACGGCTGCCTCTGTCCGAGTAAACAGTAAATATGCTTTCGTTTATTTCGACGCTTTTCATGATAAACTGGCGCCCGAAAAAGCGACACAATTCAATTCATTTAGAAACGGGAATTGGGGCAAGAGGGTTTAATATTATTATTTTATAAGTGAATTTACCAATTTTTCCATCCGTTTCAGTGAAACAATTTTGGAAATGCATAAGCATACATAAAATCAGCTTCACTCGACAGATTACTGTCAAAATTAATGTTTAGCTCTGTGAAGTAACTTGCGTCGCCTCGTAAATGATAGAATTATTTGTCAATACATAGAAATTAATTTTTTAAGTAATACACGCAGGTTTTTAAATGTGATTGCGATCTGAAAAGCACAAGAAGCTGGAAAAAGGATTGAAAGAATTAATAGGACGAAATGTGGAAGGTGAAGGTGCACGATATTAATTACTCCCACGATCCCCAACTCGAATCAATTTACTTGATAAAGTAGAAGCCGAAAGGTTAAGGTTTACTGTATTAATACAAATTGATCACAGGGATCAATGAAGCGTATGAATCATTCGCAGGAAGCAGACAGTTCTCCACGATCGTTTGCAACTTTCTGATTTCATTCCGAATCGATAGTATTTGAATGAGACCGTATTATACATATAAGACAAGATTCTAACGAAGTTTTAACGACGAAATGTTACCTCCAAGGGGGGCTTTATGCAATGCCGAGAGGCCGTGTTGACTCGATCCTTTACAAGGAGCTGATTTACGATCTTCGACTCGTATCAGAAGTCCTTCGTGTAGGCGAGAGAAATTATTGGGCCAGGCAAATTTATTCCTTTCGGCTGCATCGTCCTGATGGATTACCATTTATTTTCTAATCGATGCTTTCGACGGGCAATATGTTTTCTAGAATGGCTTCCTTTATCCCTTGTTTGTGTGAAGAAAATCCCACGGGATCGATAAACTTTTCTCTCGACAGAAAAACCCCAATCTTTTCACGCTCAAATTTGATTTCCCGGCCACTTTCGTCCCATTACTTTCAATCTAACATTTTCAATCTTATTGTACCAACTACAGTAAATTCTCCCTGATTAACGCTCAGATTGTGCACAATAATGGACAATTTGGGTAGAGGAGATACGATTATTCGACCCTTGCGGCACGTTTTTATAGTTTTTGACGATCGGTTAAAATATAAAAACGAGCCGCAAGGCTCGAATAATCGTATCTCCTGTCCCTAAATTGTCTATTTTAGTGCACAATCTGAGTGTGTGTCAATTAAGGGGAATTTACTGTATACCTTCAAATATTAACAATACAGAT